GTCATTTCTAATTTGGGGAAATGAGGCAAAATTTAATGCCAAACGATCATGTGCTACACGTGCATCATTATTTCCGTTATAGATTTACGTGTCAGCACCAACTTACATTATTTTTAACATGTCAGCAAGTCCAACTTGGACCCTTTCCAACAATTTTTTTCTACTTCCTCTTTTCCTTTCTCTTTCTTCAACTTTTGCAAATCCAAACATCTCAACAAATTTCTAACATCTTAACCAATCTCTACCCTTTTGGCTTCTTATCATCATCAAACAATAAAACCCATCAAAAAAACAAAAGAATTTTTTTTATAATTTTTTGCCACTAGTTCGAAGGAACCTAGGCATGCTAGGTTCCATCTAATCATTGAAAAATTCGATTCAAGCAATCCCACTGAGAAACGCAAGCCCTTGTAGGAAAAAAGCTATCGTTGTCATCGGCCACCCCTTAGCCACCATTGACAAAACAATTCCCAATTCCTCCCAAAGCCAACCAAACCCCTTCCTCCTCACCCATCGTTAACAGGGCAAGATAGCCATGCTGCCTTGCCATCCAAAGCAAAACATATCGGTAAGCTAAGGTACACCACTCTCTTTCCTTGACCCCCACTGCTTCCACCATGAGATTGAAATCTTCCATGGCCAGAAACTTGGTCACCACCTCCATCGTCCCTATATGTTCCCCTTCTCACCGCCAAGCCTCGTTGAATTTACAAGAAACCCACAATCCGAGCAAAACCAAAATACTCATCACACAAAAAACCCACCCCCATCAAAGAGAGACAAAATCCTTGGCCTTTAACCCACCCCCATCCTCCTTGCCTCCTACATCTATTGTCGCTCTTCCCCCCTCACTCCTGTTCCCACAACCCCATCGCCGCTTCCACCTCTAATGGGATCGTTCTCCCGAGGATTATTTTTGTTGCCGAAGATGATGACCAGGAACCCATGCCTAGGATCCAAAGAACCAAGCACGCCTAGGTTCGTTGGAACCCAAGCGCAAGTTCTTTCGAACCCAGGCACTGGGGTTCCAAGGAACCCAAGTGCTGGGTTCCTAGGTTCCTTTGAACCCAGTGGCAGAAAATTAAAAAAATTTCTGTTTTTTTTTTTTGTTTGTTTTTTAGTTTTGTTATTTGATGATGATGGGTAGAAATTGGTTGAGATGTTTGGATTTGCA